TGACCATAGATTTGAAGGTTTAAGTTTATGTGTTTGTTTTGCTGACTCATTCGTTTCCACGGTCAGACCACATCCTTTGAGCTGAACATATAAAGCTGAGCATCACAGTGAGTTTCAGTGCATTCAGCGTCTGATCAAAGAGAGGGAAGAAGAAATGTCCTGCCTGAAGAATTTCAGTCTCCTCATCTCATGTGTGCTCCTCTCCATCATCCAGCCAGGTGAGTGATGTTTTCCACTCAGTTTTTACTTACTTTTTTTGGACAATATTTGCTGTTTGTGTGACACAATAAAAATATAAAAACCATACAGTACGTGGTTGAGATGTAATATTTTAACATATATTTTATATATCTAAGATATATTTTGTACATTTCAAGGACTCTTCTGTTATTGGAGTGTATTTTTTATGTATCTGTATTATATTATACATATACATTAACAATGAATCTCTGTCCAAAAAATGCACTCAGTTTACTTTTTACTCACTATGAGCATCACTCATTATTCTCCCGCAGTAATTAAGGTTAGGATATGTATTTTTTTATTCCAATCCATTTAAATAACCTTGATCAGATTTGATGGTTTTGTTACAGACTTTAAAAAAGTGTTTTGCTTTTCTTTCACAAATGTGGGATTAAATTGTGTTAAAATGCACAAAAGAGTGATGTCATGTTTTGAGACCCAGGCACAGAGAGACTTGATGAATTTAAGAATCTTATGATTTAATAAAGAAATTTGCAGACTTGCACAGAGATGGTAAAATTATGATGACTGATAACGGAAACGAAGACAACAGACGACGAGGACGAGGACAGGGAGGAACAGGGGTTTAAATGCACCAAGGAGACAGAACTCCGGACAACTGGAGACATTTAGGGATGCAGGGACTGACAGACGGGGTAGAAGTCTCATCGTGACAAGTAAAGTTTATCTTGCCTGGCTGGGCAGCTCTCTGGGTGCTCTGTAATTTCCACTGTAATTTAATTTACTTATTGACATTTTTAATCTTCATGTAAACGAGCATAATGCAACGTCACACTGCTGATATCTTCAATGTGGCTATAGCTCAGGTGGCAGAGCAGGTCAGTTACTGAAGGTTGGCGGTTCGATCCCAGGCTGGTCCAGTCTGCATGCCAAATAGCTTTGAGCAAGATTCTAACCCCATGTTGCTCTCCGTAGTATCAATGTTAGATACTTAAGTGAATGAATTAGTTGTATGAAGTGCTTTGAGTGATCAGACAGAGTAGAAAAGCGCTATATAAGAACCAGTCCATTTCACTCATCTGCTGATTTATGTGTCCTGATATTTTGTTTCTGTTTCAGGTCGTGGGTCTGAGATTATTAATGGGAAGGAAGTCAGGCCACACTCACTGCCTTACATGGCTTATGTGAGAAGTGTGGCTAATTATATGTGTGGAGGGACATTAATCCATCCACAGTGGGTGCTGACAGCTGCCCACTGCACTGGGTAAGAATCTGAGACCTTATTTTAAAAATAATGCAGTATTTATTTTCAATGACTATTATTCCTTCAGTAACTACCCAGAGGTCACTACCCTCACCTGTGGTCACGAGCTCTGGGTAGTTACTGAAAGAATGAGATCAGGGCCAGAGCAGCAGAAATGTGCTTTCTGTAAGCCATGACTGGCCTCTTCTTTAGAGAAATGGTCATTCATCCAGTCATTGGAGAGAAGCTCAGCTGCTTCTCTTCCACAGTCAAAATAATACACACTGCTATAATTATGCATGCAAAGCTAATAAAATTTAATGGAGAGAATGAATATAAAGAATATTTAAAGTTGAATTCTTGTTCATAGATTTATTTGTTTTACAGAGGTGTTCTAGAAAATGTTATTTGTGATGGAATAACAAGGAAAGTACGGAGCCCTGTGAGGGACATGGGAGGAAAATAAATGAAAATAAAATTTTGCGAGATCCTGAGTTACTTTTGTGAGATCTCGGGATCTCTCAAAATCTTAGGCCACATCCTTCGGAGGCCGCCAGAAGGAAGCTGACAGGGAGGGCGAGACGGTGTGCGGAGTCCGGTGTTCTCGCCGGCTCTTGAGCCTTGACCTCCCAGTCAGCTATCGAGCTGGTGGGTAACAGACGTCTCCGAAAACATCGGAGCACTTTTACAAATATGTGGTGTCTTGATAAACCAATCAGATATTTGAAGTTTACACAGCTACATTTTCCTGAAAATATCTTAAAATTTTATTTTGTGACCCAGAAAGAATAATATTAAAACTAAGTAGCTGCCACCATTGTTGGAAACTGGAATTGGCTGGGCTGCGCTATGAATTCTGGGATAGGTGGGCCACGAAGGATACACCTGACCCGTCCTTTGCGAGCTTGCAAAAGGAGCACGCATCGCCTC